GGACACTATTCAGCCCAGATAACCCAGGTGGGAGGCACTGGTCTCTCTCCTGGGCCACATCCCCAGCCTCCAGCTGGTTTCCACCACAACCTCGTCTCACCTCTGCAGGCCCACAGTTCTTGAAACACCCAAGTTGGAGCGTGCAGCTCCTCTCCAATGACTCCCGCTTCACGCAGAGCAGGAACCCAGGTCCTCATGCTCCAGGCTGCGCACCTTTGCCTCCGCAGTCTGGCCTCCTGCTCCTCCTGAGCACACGGGGCATTGCTCCTGCCCCAGGGCCTTTGCACTTGCTGCTCGCCCTGCTGTGGAGGATCTGTCTCCCCCGGCTCTCCCCTCTCCCTCAGGTTTGACCTCCCTTTTCAGAGTAGTGACTTCCCCACTCACTCCATCCCCTTTTCAGCTGCATTTCCTCCAGTGCACATATCACCGCCTAACAGGCCTTGTTCAATGGTGTTTACTGTCTGTCTCCCTCAGTGGACCAGGAACTCAATGATGGAGGGGATTTTCCAGATCCTCAGCTGGCGCCGGGCCCTCAGTTGCTATTTGTTGTGGAGACAGTCACATGCAAGGTCCCCGTCATTCCCAGGCCTGATAAAGTGACGGTTATCTCTGAGTGTCTCTGCTTGGCCACACCCAGGAGAACCCAGAGGCCCCAGGAGATGCAGCCCTAGGGGATCAGACTCCAGGGAGGGCCCAGAACCAGGCCCACCCATTCGCTGGACCTCCGTTTCAGGAGAGGAAAGGAGGCAGAAGCTGAGGTGTCCCCGCTGGCCTGGGCAGATGAGGCCCTGACTCCTGGCCCGGGCCCTCAGCTACCAACTGCACAGCCTCCCGGGAGCTCAGGGAGCTCCAGGCTAGGAAACAAGTGTCCAGAGGCAGATTCCAACCTCCTGAGACAGATGGACACACTCTTCTGCCCTGCGGCCGGGGCGGGAGGAAGACCACGCCCACCACACCCATGACTGTCCTGCCATCAGAGTCAAAGTCCGGGCTGGCTCTCCCTGCCTTTCCAACGAGCAGGCGTGAGGCCGTGGGCAACTTATTTTTAGCCTTTTTAAACTAGTTTCCTCATCTGTAAAATGGGGCCAGAAAGCTACTAGGGTGTTTCTAGTTTCCCAGCTTCTGGGCATCCAGTGGGGACACATGTCCTGCCCTTCTTGTGGTTAGAACCCTGCGATCAGTCCCGGCCGATGAGCTGTCGGTGAAAGTTTCTGGAATGGAGCTCCTAACTGCTCCTCCTGAGCTGGCCCCCGGTGCGGCAACGACTGAGACGGTCAAATGCTCGTTATAGAGCCCCAGCCAAACTTAGATGGATGACCACATAGCAGGAAGAAGAAAGAAACCCGTATGGTATGGAGTCACTGAGCTTTCCGGAGCTACTTGTTACTGCCCCATAACCTAGCCGGTCCTGACTGACGGTCAGGGAATCATGCGGCTGTCATGAGGATGGGTCCAGTTGACAGCAGAAAAGGTTTAGAGCAGTGCCTAGCGCAGAGCTCACACCCAACAGATGATTCATTCAACCGGAATGTCTGTGCAAGCCTTTGTCCACTTGCTCATTCAGTTCCTCCATGACCTGGCTCCCGGTAGCTTGATGGCTTCCCCGCCTGCACGACCAGCCTTTCCTCCTGGCTCAGTAACCTGCCCACTCTGCCCCCAAGCGCCTCCTCAAACACCCTGAGCCTGCGCCTCTGCCCCTGCTGGGCACACTCTCCCGCTGGCACCTTGCGTGGCTGGCTCCTGGGGGCCTGTCAGCGTTCAGTGTCGGTGCTCCCTCCTCCGAGAGTCACCCCTGACCACTTAAAGCAAAGCCACGCCCCCTCACCCTGTCCCCATCACTTCTCCCGAGTCTGCTTTATCTACAAGACCCTCTCAGGACAATCGGTCCCAGCTGTTCATCAAGCTAAAAGCACGGGGGAAAATAAGGGTCTGTTGTAGATTAAAAGATGTTTACAATGCATCTCATGGTCCTGGACCAGGCTTGACTGAACAAATCCACTGTAAAGACTTCGGCAGGGAAAAGGGGGCAGCTTTGAATATGGCCATGAACGAAATGACGTTAGGGCACCAGAAAATGACCCAAAATTGTAGACCCACTATACTTCAATTAAAAAAAAAAAAGAAAAAAAAGGAGACGACATTAGGGCATCACTATTCGTTTTGGGAAGCGTGGCAATGATGTCTCTGTCTTGTAAGAAGACGACCTTATTCTTTTTCTTTTTAATTAACATGTAACTGACATATTAAAACGACCTGATTCTTAGAGAGATATACGAAGTACTTAGCATGAATACGTCATAATGTCTGTATTTGATTTGATTAAAAAAGTCTGTTTTAGGTATATGTCAATATTTTACTTCACTTCCCCAATTGTCAAAGCAAGGACCAAACAACTTTCTAACATCTGCCTGGGTCCCTCCTTGTGCAAAGTCTTTAACATCTCTTCCTTTTTCCAGCTCGGAGTCACGCTGTCTCCTTTTTTTTTAATCCTCTTTTAACAACAGCATTGGTGGCCCTTTGCACGACGCTCTTCTCATGAAACTGCGTCACTGAGGTCAGCTTTGAGTTGTTCCACGGCAGCATTTCATTCTCCTCACTGCTGCCTAACAGTGCCCTGTAAGCTCGATCCCGGAATTATTATCCATTCTGATGATGGACGTGAGGGTTGGTTCCAGACTTTCGCCGTTAGGAACGAACTGCTACAAACAATCCCATTCACGTTCCCTGCTGTCCTCTGTCAGAGCTCCTCCGGGGACCTACCTAGGGGCGAGGATTGCAGAGTAACAAAGTAAGCGAAGTTTCAGTGTTACAAAACCATCCTGATTTGTGTTCCAAAGAGGCTGCCGAGGGTTACACATTCACCAGAGCCCCTGACCCGCCAGCTCTCCCTCCTCCAGCACTGACCTGTGACAGCACTTGGCACTGGACAGTGTGTCAATTTCAAAGAGCACCTCTTTGCAGCCTCAAATTGCAGCTCTTCCAGCCAGGCTCCCTCTTTTGTAAAGGGCCTGCTCATGTCCCAGGAGCCCAGGCTTGGGCGAAGGAGGACCCCCTCCTTCATGGGCGTCTAGTTCACTGCTGTACCCTGTGCCTGGAACAGCACCTGGAACAGAGTAGGTGCTCCACAGATAGCTGTGCGGTGAATGAACACGCAGATGAGAGTCTGCTGAACGCACGTAGCTAACACTTCCTGAGACCTGAGCACCTCTGCTCTGTGCTGGGCAGGTCGGAGGGCAAAGCTGCGGGGCCTGGGCCACCAGAGGTCTGTAGCTTGGGGTGGGGGCAGGGGTGGGGAGGAAGGATGGAGCTCCTGCCCTTCCCAGGTCGGCCCTACCCTCTGCTTGCCGAGAGCAGAAGCCCGCAGGACACTCCCGGGGCCCCGTGGTGTGCACCTTGGGATAGGGGTTGGAAATCAAATCTCCTTCTTGGCAGTTTGAGGATCTCTTGGAAACGACTGGACCCTGACGCTGTGCCCACGCCCACGGGGGACATTGCTGGGCCCGTTTGACCCTGTAGTTCTTGGATGTGCTAGCGTTATTCTGAAGAATGGCATGGCGGGGAGGTGGTCCTGGGTCATCCCTGCCTCGATTTCACCAACCAACCTGTCAATTGAGAAAACACACACACACACACACACACAACCTAAAAGTTGAGAATTTTGCTTTATTTGGGGCTCTTACTGAGGTCTGCAGCCCGGGAAGCCGCCTCTCGGATAGTTCTGTTCCAAAGAGGCAGAGGAGGAGCCTCGATGCATGGGGGTTATCTGGTGGGAAAACACACACACACAGATGCATCCGAGATCACAGGATTCCTGCTAATCAGCACGCAGGACCCTCAGACGCCTCAAGCTCGTGATTTCACTGCCTTTCTTTCTCCGGGAAGACGAGCGAGCCTGGGCTGACTGGAACCACTCCTCTGATCTGCACCTGAGTTGACAGAGTCCCATCTTCTCCGTCCTGAGCCCCCTCGGTGCACAGGCCTGGCAGCTGAGTGCCTGATTCCTTTACAGCCTCAGCATCCTTTGCTCACTGACATGGCGGGTGACATTCTTTGTCCACAAACTGATGGGGGCCTGATGTTTTAGGACCACATAAAATAAACAGGCATCTGGTGGAGTGGGTATAGCTCAGCGGTAGAGTGCGTGTTTAACGCGCATAAGGTCCCGGGTTCGATCCCCAGTACCTCCATACAATAATAATAACAACATTAAATTAAAAAACAAAACAAAACAAACAAAAGCCCGCCAGTCATCAGTACTCGGCTTTCCAAATACCTAAGCCACATTCTCCAAACCCTCTCGGAGGGGCACTCTTTTATCTCTGGCTATTCCCCCTCGGTGATGTGATAAACCTTGGTTCCGTCTCCAGATCAATTTGCCTACCATGTGTCTTTGGTAGGGGTAATTACCCCAAAGTCCCTGCAGGTGTCTGCGAGGAGACGGGCCAGTCCAGCCACGCTGCAAAGCCCACACCTGGGGATACCTGGACTCACCCTCCAGGCCCCAGCCAGTGGGCCTTTGTGGGAACCCCTCCCTTTCCCTGGAAGGCCTGGGGTCTCCAACCCAGATGCCTTCAGGGACAGGACAGAGCTTCTGTAGGAAGATGGAGATTGCAGGGAATTTGCACATGCCCCGGGCAAAGGCATTACATGCATTTGTGCTGTTGAGCAGCTGGTGAGTTGGAACTCCTGGGCTCCAGGCCGGAGGTCAGACCTGCTCAGCCCCCACCTCCCCAGGCACAAATGCGGGGTTGGTTGGGCAGAGGAGCACGTGGGAGGGTGAGGAGCTTGGTCCAATCAGGCTGGGTGAGTCAACATATCCCCCGAACCCCCAGGGCACTCCTGGAAGTCCACGTGGGCCCCTCGGTAAAGCCAGTGCTGCTGCTCCCGCGTATCTGCCCTGGTGAGCCGAAACCAGGGTTCAGCAAACACTCCCACAGCCGCCTGCACAGAAGCGCCGTTCACAATCGCCAAAAGGTGGGCAACAGCCCAGCTGCCCTTGCCCAGAGCTGCCCTCTCTCCTCCTCTTTGTCCTGCCGCCAATAACGTGGTAAGCAGGTGCAGTAGGAGGCACCTGGGCCCCAGGTTCAAGTCCACCAATTAGAGCCGGGGGACCTGGGCCAGCTACCCTGGTCTTTGATCTTTTTGTTTTTCCCCCACCTCTCAAGCTGGCCCCAGCCTAAGGCCTTTGCACCGGCTGTTCCCCCCCCCCCGAACCGCTCCCCTCAGGCCTCCCTGCGGCTGGCTCCTTCCCATTAGGCTGGTCTCACTCAAAAGTCACCTCCTCCAAGAGGTCCTCTGGGGCCACCTGATCTAAAATGCCCCACAGCCTTCTGGATCCTGGTCACTGCCTTCACCACTGAAAATCTCTCCTTTTGTTGACAGTGGCACTCACTTCCGCCTCTGGAATGAGAGCTCATGACCGTCTGCTGGCATCGTGCAGCCCCAGAGACCCCAGGAAAAGACAGTCCTCCAGCAGCCTGGGGTCCCCAAGCCCCGGCATCGTCAGTGACACTCCTGGCTCACAGAGCGCTTCCCCGCCTTTCCCCACCACGGGTTTTTGCGACACCCTGGGCTGTTGAGCTTAGTAACACTGTCTTCCGTCCAATCTGAATGCCGCTGGTGGAAAGACCCCCCGTTAATTCACGTGCCCCGAGCAGGAACAAAATGCTGTAGGTATTTTCATCCTCCATCAATTGAAGACACAACCTGACTTCTGGTGAAAGAGTGTTCATCGAGGACTCAAACCCCGGGCTCGCCCTGGGCCCCTGGCCCGGGCCTCTCCTCTAGGACTGGGTGCTCCGTTAACCCGGCCCGCCAGGCAGGCGCATGCGTCCCCAGTTCACAGTTGAAGCAACTGAGTAATCTGTCCGCGTCACACTGCTAGGGATTGGAGCAGATGTGAACGGGGGCCTGCCCGGGGAACCCACGCCCGCTTTGAGCGCACACCTGGCTTCTCAGACCCCAGGGCCGCCTGGGAGGTGGGAAAGGAAGGCTCAGAGACCCTCACTTGCTTGGCGCCACACAGCGGTAACCCCAGGCGCTCCTCAGGGGAACCTGGGAGGGGGCAGCTGCAGGCTGGGGGGTCGGGCAGAGAGGGCAGAGCCAGGCCGCGTAGGGTAGCTGGGCTGCAGGACGGCGAGGATTGCGTCAGGGGCCCCGCTGGACTTCCCGGGGCCTTGCTGCGGCGATGCAACCCTGGCCATGACCGCGAGGGGGCCGGCCGGGGACCGCGCCCTCCGAAGACGCCCTGGGCAGCCCGGCGGCTCTCAGCCCCGGCTGCCCCGCCTCGACCCCCGGGGCTCCGCTCTTTCCGAACTCGAGCCCTGGCTCGCAGCTCGCGGTTACCACCCTTTTTCTCAGCTGTTTGCTCGCCTCCCACACGAACAGCCTCCACCTGGGCCCCGCCGCACAGAACACCCTTCCTACAGTCACCTGGCGGCTCCGGGCGCCACTGCGAAATGGGTTTGAGGGCAAACTCCGTGGCGTCACCTGTCCCGGGGCCTGCCAGCGTCCTCTGCGGGCACAGCCAGTACTTTCTGTGTCACTAGGTCTCTGTGACACAGACTCTGCTCGGCAGAAAGCAGCCATATTGTTGAGGTCTCACCGGTTTATGTCGCATGTGTTATCACTAAACAAACAGCCAGGAGAGCTCATAACTGAGCGGGCCGCCAGGCGGCCTCTGTTCGCGGAGCCTGCCTGTCTCGCTCTGCGTCTCCGCGTCTCCCCCGGCGCTGCTCTGGGCTCTACCCACCATGTCGGTGGCCTCTGCTGCCCCGTCCTCGGTTCTCCCCCTAGTTGGCCACAAAGGGCTCGCTTCTCCCCTCTGCAACCAACACTGGGGTGGAGAGAGATCCAAACACCCTTGACACCAGGATGGAGTCACCACCGGAGGGAGGACCTGGGCAGGGAGCTTGTGTAAGTCCCAGGGGGTCTATCCTGTAGACCAGCACCCCTGGTCTGGCGTACAACGTGGGGGCCAGTTGTCCAGGTCTGTCGGCGACGGCCCTGGTTTTCATCCAGACTGAACATCTGCTCTTCCCAGGGCTGCTTCCTGGGCCAGGAGGAAGAGGAGCTGCTCCTGAGATGGTACAGGGGAAATAAGGCCTGGACCAGATGCCAGCGGGAGGCCTGAGTCTACCTGTGCACTCCTGTCAGTCATTTATTCACTCAACAAACATTCAGTAAGCCAGGATCACAGCATCGAACAAAATAGGACAAATCTTGATAGTCTAGTGGAGAGGAAAGACAGCTGGCAAAATACAAGTTGAACACATAAACTGACTATATCATAAGTCGGATGGCATTAAGGGCCGTGGAGAAAAGTAACAGAGGGAAGGGGTTTGGCTGTGTTTGTGGGGAGGGAGCGCTTTGTGATTTCAGGCGGGTGGTCAGAGAGGCGTTGCTGTGAGGTGGCACCAGAGACAGGCCTGGGGACCTGCATGTGCAAAGGCCCTGAGGCAGGAGCCGTGGTCTGGGGAGTGGCTGGAGGGAAGCAGGCAGGAGAGGCGGGTGGGGGGCAGGGCAGTGGGGCTGGTTCTAGGCCACAGTGAGGACTGGGTTTTTACCCCTCCCCACCCCCCCCAGGTCAAGGGATCCATGGGAGGGTTTCTGGTCTGATGAAGTTTTCCCCAGGATCCTGCAGCTGCCATGCGGAGAACAGATGGGAGGGGGCCATGCAGATATAGGGGACCAGTTAGAAGGTGGAGTGGACGTGGCTTGGACGGGGGTCAGAAGTGGCACGTTCTGGTTGTGTCTGGAAGGCAGAGCCAACAGGACGGCCTGAGCTGAGCAAGAGCGCAGAGATGGACGATGAGGTCTCCGCCTGAGCGATGGGGGTGGCGGCTGCCCGTCCAGGGAGGAGCAGGTGCAGGGTGCTCGGGCCTTTGGTTTTTCCCACATGAGGTTGGAGCTGTGTAGCCTGTCGGGTCTTCCAAGATGGGCAAACAAGTCCTTGAATCTCATATGGTTTCTTAGAATGTGGACTGACACGCGTCACCATTACAAGGTGTGGTCTGTCCCCCTCCCCTGGGGCAGGCGGGCTTGAGACCCACACAAGTGACCCGTGGCTTCTGCCTGGTCTCCTGGGACTCTCACTCTTGGCACCAGCCCCAGAGTGAGGAAGCCCAGGCCACGCGGGGCTGCAGTGACAGCCTTGTGGGTGAGGAGGACGCAGCCCTGGCCACACCTGGCTGCGCGTCCTCGATGGCCCTGGTGAGCACCAGCTTGTTGGGGGGCAGGTGGCGGGGAGCAGGCAGTCGTGCTGGGGCCCATCTACTTTGGTTTCCTTTGGACGCACCGGTGTCCTGTCACCCTTTACCGACTCAGAGAGGGGCAGGGACCGACTACAGAGCCAGCAGGTGCCCAATGCCCAGCATGGGTGGGGGGCCCATGGGCACAGAGCCACTGGGCCTGGGAGCTGAAGGATGCTGGCCTGGCCCTGCCTCAGCCCCAGAACCCTGGAGGAAGAGCCACTCACCCTCTCTGGGCTTTTAGTGTGGAGCACCCACCCTGCTGTCCCCTAATCAGCCCGCCCTCGGCACAGGGGAGCCTCCCCAGGACCCTCAGAGCGGGCCAGCTGGGGTTTGCTTCCAGCCCGCCACCCACCAAGTGCCTGATCTTTCAAACTCACTGTCTGCCTCCGAGCCTCAGTTTCCTCATCCGGAAAACGGAAGTAAACACCTTCCCTCCCTGTACTGTGGGGAGGATTAAAATGAGCTTGTCTTTGTGATGTGCACAACAGGGCAGTGACCATCTAGTCCTGAGTGTTCTTCGGGGCGAGTCACTCAGAGCCCCCTGAGCCCCCCCCAAGCGCCCCCCATTCACTCCCAGGAGAGGGGGCGGGAGGCGGAAGGGGTGGCTGGAGGCTGGGTCTGGACTCAGTCCTGTCCGAGGGGTCCTCTCTCCCCACGTATTGTGGACTGAATGTGCCCCCACAAAGTTTTACCTTGAGGCCCAAGGCCCCAGGGTGGTGGTACTTGGCAGTGGGACCTCCGGGAGGTGAGAGGAGGAGGCCATGAGGGTGGGAGCCTCATGATGGAATTAGTGGCCTTGTGAGAAGAAGGGACTGGTCTGGCTCTCGCTGCCTTGTGAACACACAGCCAGAAGGTGGCTGTCTGCCAGCAGGAAGCAGGCTCTCACTGGAACCAAATCTGCTGTCACCTTGGCCGTGGACTTCCAGCTTCCAGGACCCTAAGGAACAAATGTGTGCTATTTCAGCCCACACTGTGGCGTTTGTCACGCCAGCTGGCGCTAAGACCAGTGCCTCGGCTTCCCCACCTACAAAACGGGAGCTGGAGTGGGGACATTCTGGCCCCAGAGGTCACCTGTGTCGATGTGTTTTGTAAACTGGACACCCACGCACACAGGGATGTGAGCATTTGCTTGCAAGGCCGAGCCATGCTGAGGTCAGGTGGCACCTGGAACTCCAGGTGTTTACATGGTGACTCACATAACACTGAAAATTTCTGGTGAGCATAATGTTCTGGGACATCCCTGCCAAAGATGCAGGTCTGGAATGGAACCGTGAGGACACCTGAGGCCGCTGGCATTGAGGGACCATCAACAGGACAGCCGGCCTCTGGCCTTCACGGGTGCCAAGTCGGGGAGGGCAAGGAAGGACCAAGGTGCTGGGGTGGGTCCTGTCAGCAGGGGATGCTGCTGGGGCCCTGAGTGGACTCTGATGTCGTCTTATTTCCTGATTTTAAAGAGACGTGAAAGAAAGTCCTGGTTTGCAGGAAATACATAGAAAGGTGCTGGGTCATCAGTGTGCTCCCAAATAATTTAGGTTAAAAAAAAAGGTCTGCCCATCTCCCTGCATCTCCTCTGTAAATATAAGATGATTTCAAAATTTAAAAAACCTATGTTTATAAAAAAATGAGATCAAAACAAGCATTTCTGCAGGCTTCCCGGTGCCCGGGTCCCTGGTCTGCAGCCCCAAGTGGGAGCACCTCCTGATGCTTCAGTTTTTCCTGCAATTTGTCTCTTATGACTGAACAGAGGTTCACCACTCATCTATTTACTTCAAAGGAGATCAAATTGGTGGGAGAGTTTTTTAAGACAGCGTGAGGCTGTCACACAGTAGTGAGACCGTCACCCACTATGACAGAGCCTGGGTTCTTGGAGACCGGGTCCACAGGCTGTGTGCCTGGGGGCCCGAGCTGGGCCCTTTCCCCAGCTACATGAGGGCCTGGACAGGCTCCCCCCTGCAGGTCCCTGGAGTGGGACCACGCGGGGCATCCGTGAGGAGCGGAGGCAGCCTGTTCCCCGAGGAGGGACCTTTGGTCCATCTGGTCCGGTCTGATGGGCAGAGGCCTTTCCCGGGCCCAGGGACCAGATGGTGGACAGATGGACGTGGGATGTGGCCTGGCTTGGCTCAGTGAGCACAGAGCCTGGCCTGGAGACTGCCTGACTGGCTGTGGCATCCATGCCCGGGGGAGATGGGCCCTGAGCCTAGCCGGGTTTTGGGCCTGCCTTGCTACCTGGGCGTCAGGTAGGGGTGGAGGCATGGAGCTGTGGGAGTCTGCGCTGCTTGCACCAGAGAAATGGGCACACTTCTGCCCTACTCCACAGCTGGGGGTGATAACTTCCCATTATGCAGGAGTATATCCCAACGCCTTACAGCAGCCTGCAGGCCCCCATGTGGGCTGGCCCTGCCCTTCTGGGCTCCCCCCACCCTCTTCCTCCTTGAAACTCTTAGGCCAAAGGATGCAGGGTCCTCTGATCGAGTGGGCCCATTGCACGCCAGGATGGTGCACTGGCTGCTCCCCTCCCTGGTCTCTCTGATGGCTGCAAAATCATCTCCTCCTCCTGCTTCTACTCATTCCCTGCTCAGAGTGGCCTTTCTGGAGCCCTCTGGAAAGCAGCGGTTCACAAACCCTCCTGTGCATCACACTTAAAGGGGAGGAGGAGGGAGATACTACAGATGGCCAGCCCCAACCTTAGCCTACTGATGAGCAGGTCGGGGCGGACCCAGGAACCTGCATTTCCACCAGGTTCAGGTGATGCTGACGCCGCTGGTGGGGCACCAGCTGGAGAACCTCTACTGTGATGTGGCACCTGCAGGCCCTCTTTGCACCGCCTTACAGCCTGTTGGTCACCCTCACCTACTATCCTCTTCCTAATGAACCCCATTTTGCTGCAGGCGTTTGAAGGCCCCTCTGCAGCCCCAGGCAGGGGATGGTGATTCCTCTAGACCAGAGGTTCTCGATCTAGGTGGCTCTACCCACCAGGAACATCTATGGCCGCTACAGTGATACATAAGGAATGTCCCGCCCCCAAAGTCCACGTGCCCCCAGGAAGAGCACTGATCAATCGCTCGCTGCCACTGAGTGTGGCCAGGCAGCCAGGGCTTCTGGGAAAGGCCACCTCTCCTGAGTGAAGGGGGTGCAGCCCCCACTCTCTGCCTCTCTGGGTGGGAGAGCGGCGGCTGCCATCCTGGATTCGCAGCCAGGAGCAGAAAGAGCAACGGGACGGGCAGCCGTCCCCGGACTGGCCAGCCGAGCCACCTCCCTGCACTTCCTGTTGGGTGGCAGTGCCCCAGGTGCCTCACCTAGAGCTTGTCTCGTTCTGCACGTCCTGTGCCAAGCGCAGTACCTGCCCGTGCAGGTAGGCACTCTGTCCGCCAGGGAGGGTTGTGTGAACGTGCCAGAACCTCGGGTTCTGAGACTGACGCGGCCCGACCCCTGCCTGAGGGCAGGAGGCTTCTTTCCCTGAGCTGAGCCTCAGCTTGCCCATCTGCCAAATGGGTGTAAGGACCCTGTGGTCAAGGAGGCATGGACAGGGAGGTGCTGGTGACTGCTGTAGGCCTTCCTGGAAGTCCCCCATCACCCGAAGGGCAGGTGGTCTGGGGTCAGGGCCGCAGAGCCCCTCCTGGCCGCAGAGGACGCGACGCGACGCTCGCCCCTCCCGAGGCGGGTCAGGGAGCCACGCCTGAACCACGAAGAAGCAGGGAGAGGTCATGTTTGTCTGAAATGCGTCACAAGGGAAGACCGCCGTGGCCCCAGCTTGCGGGGCTCGCCTGTGCGTTCGGGGCTGCCCTAATCAAGGCAGGGGACTGGAGACGAAGCCCCAGGGGTGGGCGGAAGCACCAGGGGCGATAATGTGGACACGGGGCGGGGAAGAGGTGCCCTCGGGGCTGTACTTTCCAGAGTCCGCAGACCTGGCGGCCTGAAGTCACGTCCCCGGCTCGGCCCACCCCCGGGTCCTCGCTGAAGTTCCGTGAGAGGCAGCCACTCGCCCGCTGGAAGGGCGGCCCCGGCCCCCGACCCCGGCCTGG